ATGAATTCAAACATCCAAATTTAAAGGGTTTATTTATATTATACTGTTTTTAACGGAGGATGCATACATTATTTAAAAATATATTCATTTTAGTTAATTGATTAAACTGAGAATATTAAATTGAAATAAATATTTAATACAAAATTGCTGAATAAAATAAATATTTGGTATAACATAAAAATAAATATTACTTTATAGTTATGTGAATTTGGCAGATACCGATAAGAAAATAATCATTTTGTTGTCATTCTGCCTCACACAATCATTGTGTACTGATGTTGTGAGAACGAAATTTTGCTAATAAAGAGTTTTTAAATGTAATTTCTGATAGTGTGCGGGAGTTTCTCGTTTGCTGATTGTCGGCCGATCTTTTTTTGGTCGTTTTTCTTACGCACCTATTATCTTTTCTTTTTTAAATAACTTCAAATTAAATACTAAAAATGAATACATTTAAACATCACAACATGTACTGTATTAAAATACATTTTTATTTTGAGATTTGTAAACAACTACATTTAACAGTTATTTAAAAAGGAAAGGAGCTGCACAGTTAAAAATCTGATATTTGTTGGTAAATTAAAAAAAAGTCACTGATACTGTACTATTACCAATATACAGATACTGTATTGTGCATTCTTACTAAATGAATCTCAAATACAGCTTTCCAACCCGCAACCCCGGGGTTTTTTTTGTTTTTTTTGTTTTTTTTAGTGGAAACACTCTGAACAACAGGTTTATACCGTTCTTGTATTGGTTGAAAAGGCTATCCAGGGGTTCCAAACGGTTCATTGAAATCACACAGGGTTTTTGAATCTCATCAACTCAGAATGAAGTTGTAGAATCTTCAACTCAGTTGGATCATATGAACTCTATAAGTGAGGGAGACTCTGGCCTCTGCCCCTGTTCACAGCTACTTGTGGGTCCCTGACAGCGGGGTTGCTGGGTAATGGGCCGTGGAGAGCCAGAGCACTAATGTGCTTAATCGTGTTTGAAATGACAGAGGAGCCCAGGGACACCAGACTTTATTATGTTGGACCATGTATACAGAGAGGAGACTCATTCAATTTCTGCGTCTGAGGGTGTGAAAGGGTCCCAGAGTGGAAAAGAATGGGAGGAGGAGTGAGAGGGAGCGAGCGAAGTGTGTCCTTTTCATGTGACACTTGGGACAAAAGAGGGTGAATCACATTAAAAAGTGCCTAACTCTTATTTGAATTAAAAATCATGTTTCTCTCTCCCTTCTTGGCTGACATGATGTTTCCTTAAGCAGGTATTAAACCACTGATGGAATTTAAATTCATCCATGTGAGATTTTAATCGTTTTTTTTGTTGTTGTTTTTTTTCGTAAGCCAGCAGTGATAAAAGCCAGGCTTGTTAATCCGAGTCAACCTGTAAATGAATATAGATCTTTTATAAGCGATACGGTCGCACGCCATAAAAACCCGTCTTTCTCTTGCCATCAGGGTTTCAACGCTAGCCAAGTGTTTTTTTAAAGTGCTGCAAGAGAGGAAGGGATGCGCGGATCCCATGGCAAGCCAAGGAGCTGTTGGTAAATCCAAATGAATGTCGGATAATCAATCCTGGGCTCAAGAGATTTCTCCTCCTCAAACTTCAGTGTGGCCTTTTTTCCTCCCCGCCACCGCAATAGCTCTGCCTCATTTACCAAGGACCCGCAATGGGGCCCGGCTCCCTTCCCACATCGAGCCAACAGAGAGCCAGCGCTGACCCCGTGGAGGAAGCAGAGGATAAGCAGGGGTTTAGTCAGATATCGACAGCTGTCTGCTCATCAGTGCCTTGCGTCTCTTCGAACGTCACATGAATGCACACTGATTAGAAGAGCAAGAGAGATGCGAACAGTTTGCAAACACGCACACACATTTCTGTTTGCCATCTGCCTAGAAAAGCGGGGGGGTACACTACTTTGTGTACTCTGTATGGGTTTGTATGGTCGTTTTTTTTTTTTTTTTTACGAAATAATTATGTATTTTTACAATGAGGAACTTGACTTTGTAAACCATCAAGTATCTGTTCTGATATTGAACTAGAATCTATAGAGGAGTGTCTTTGGTTGAGGATTATGTTTAGGGTGCGTTATATTTGCAAAGAGAATTAATATATCTTTGAGAGATTATCTACCCAACTACTGCTTTCTGTGGCTGAAGATCCTTTAGCAAATGCCAGGCTGGCATACCATAAATGTCGATGTTATTGATTAGCATTTAGGATACGGTCAATTAAATAGCAGACGTTTTACATAACGGGGTGATTGCTCCTCTCTGAATGATTCTCGTGATTCTGCCTTGAAACTCGGCTGAAAACATCTCGAGCGACTTTGAGAATCATTGTGCCAAGTCTTGTAAAGCGTTGTTGAAGCCTGCATTTGTTTTAGCCTGGCTGTGATTTGCAGAGCTTTACAGAGACAGAGAGAGTGAGCTGAGGGGAAGTAATTAAGTCCAAATCCATTTAGGTCATTTAATTAATTGAGGGACACGTTCACTGGTTTCCAGCCCTATCAGTGCTCACATCAGCCTTGAGTGCTGATTGAGATGCCATTTGGAGCATATATTAATGGCAGCAGAGAGAGCAACTTGGAGAAATGAGCTGTCTTGTCTTATCTGCTCAACGCCACTGAGGTTTCAAACTTTGGTTCTCTAAAGAGTGCTTTGCCTTGACTGAAAGGGACATCTTAAAAAAAGAAAAGAAAAAAATATCAGGATGAGACTTGGATTTAATTTGACCTATTCCTTTGAGGTGTTTTAATATATATATATATATATATATTCAATTTGTTATACTTAGACATTGCATTTCATCACAACACTATTAAACTTGGTTGTGTAATTGTCTCACACCATGCTACGACATGGATGATACGTCAAATCATATGGCTTGTTTAGGCGAGGTGGCTGGTACTTTTCTAAGCAATCGACTTTCATTTCAGCACAGCAGTAGTAGGGGATTGGGATGGATTTGGACATAATTTGTTAAGCAAAAAGATATACTCTTTCACTCTTCTTTTTATTTTCCCTCTGCTCTTGTATTTGTCAGTTTTCACATGATCTCCCCATCATCAATTCGTTGAAAAGCAACACAGCTTTTTGCTTTGGTTTTGCAGTCATAAGACATCCGGATGGTATAGTTTGTGCTTGTCTTATCATGATGTCTTGTTTGTTTGTGTCCATATGAAAAAGACCCCATGATCCTTTCAGCATCAGTCTGGGGAAGATGATGTCTCACATTTTGTGCCGTATTAGTTCTAGAGGAGTGTGTGTGTGTGTGTGTGTGTATGCTCCATTAGGAGCTTACCGCCCTGTCCCTGTACTTACTTCTCTAAGTATAGCTAATCCATCAGACATAATGTCCCATTATATAGCCCTGCCAGGGTGTATCTGTGTGGGCACATGAGGTGATTAATACTGATCAAGCTTCATATAAGTGCTAAAGTGAGATGTTTGTTTGAGTTGCTAATCCAAAATAAAATTTAAAGGACACAATGCAGTGTTTCTAAGCTGATGGGTTGCAAACCAGAAATGATTCACAGTTCTTTTCTCATCGCAGTCAAGAGGGAAAAACAAATAAAATTCAACTAATCATTTAATTATGCATAATTATGATGGAAAAATTAACAGACTTATCTGCTTTTAAAAGAAGGAGAAAATGTTTTATCTTTTAATGTTGAAGTCTGAGGCTGTGCATATTGGCGCATAATGTCACTTTGGAGTAAGCAACTTTGTCAGAAATAGGTTTAAGGCCTTTAAAAGTTCATAAAAATATAATAATTTTTAAAGAAAAAAACAATCAAAATATAAGACGGATTTAAAAATTAGAATTGTGAATTACCTTTTTTTTAGACACTCATGTTAATATTTGTGCTTATTTTTAGACTTTTTAAGTTTGTGGTTATATCAATGAATACATTTCAGTATTTGCTTTTAAGTACATTTTTTATTTTTTATGTTTGTAATGGGTCACACTTGATTTCCAATGTAAAATCTGCATCCTAAAGCAAAACCAGTTGAGAACCACTGTACTGTTGGACAGTCCATTCTCTATTTGGCCATTGTATCATGATGCCAAACTCGTTAATGTCAGTATCTCAATCCATAATGAATCTAATACAAACACTCAAAGCCGTCATTAATAATTCAGCCTATTTTCAATAGAACTCTTTGGCAGTAGATTTTCACTTTTTCCATTGTCCTGAAAATATGTTTTTGATCCATCCCTGCTGGCCTTGTGTAAAAGCTGACAGACTGAGACGGCATCCCAGCAGCCTTTGCGGTTAATTGAGTTAAGTCACCTGTGAAAGACTGTACAGTTCGAGTCAATGAGCCAGGTGTCCCCCAGGCTGGTGCCCTTATAATATAACCTATTGTGCTTTTGCACACTCAATCCATCTCTCTTTCTTTCTCAAACTCTGTTTCTCCATTATTACATTGGGCATGTTAATAAGACCTATGCTGTCACTATCATGCTCAGTGTGAGTGGATGAGGTGTGAATATTAAATTGCATTAAAGAGATAGTTAAAAGTGAAAAATCAGTCATTATTTACTCAACCTGTTGAAAACCCATCTGATCAGAATAGAAAATTACGCTAGTTGCTATATACAGTATATTTTCCAGGCAGTTAGTCTGAATGGCGACGCTTTCAAGCTTAAAAAAAATCTGCAAAATAGCCACGACAGTATCCTAAAAGTGTACAGTGCATATGACTCATCATGTGCTGCATTAGTCTTCTGAAGTTGTATGAACCATTTAATGCCACTCTCTGATGCTTGAAAGCCTTGGTTCCCATTCGTTGTAAATGGATGTATACAGTAAAAGCGCAATTATGAAAGTTTCTAATTTTGTGTTCTATAGAAGTCATATGACATGCCAATGACTTTCACAATCATTCAGTCGTACATGTTGTCCAGTCATGTAGAAACATACAAAGCGATCTTTGCAGTGGCCATTTTTAAAACGGCAATTCCCGTCATCGTCCTCTTTCTTGTCTTTTCAGGTGGTGTTCGATCTACTCTGGGTCATGCTGTGTGGCTGACTTCTATGCAGTAGCTGAAATGAGGTTGGTGAATTTGGGGTCGCGGCCCCTCTTGGCCTTGACCCTCATGCTCACCCTCACCTGCCTAAAGCATCTGTGCCATGGTGCGACGCCCTTTCCTCAGGACCTGGAGCCCATCAGCACTGTTGGTAGTGAACGTAAGTATGATGCTACGAAACACCAGTTAGCACTGCAGTTCCTGGGATAAAAGTGATCTGATTTTAATGTGATTTCAGTGATCTTTTTTTAACTTCAGGCATACAAAGAGTGTACAAATCAATGTTTTTTTCATTCAATCATGACATTTGGAATTATAAATGCTTTATCTTGCATGATATATATAGCAATAGACGCATTAAAGCGTACCCAGAGTTTAAAAGTAAACCGCCTGCCAAGCAATCAGATCTTGGCAGACGCAAAGCATTTCACACGCCAAATAAATATATCAGCTGCGATTGGCTGCCAAGTCCATCCTCTCTCCACCTCCTGTTCCCAGCCCTAATCTACCCCATCCCAGTTTTCCACCCCATGCTACTCCCCAGATTCCAAACCTATTGGGTGTGAGAGACTGGCTTCACTCGGAGCTGCTGTGAAGTTGTTACTAATTGGCAAATAAAAACTCCTCAGTCTTGACTGTGTAGCAAACATTAGGGTGTGGAGAGGCCGACTCAATTGCAAATGAGGTGTGATAGAAGTGTTTATTTGCGCACGATCCATTTGTATACAGTCTGTACCATCCAGCACAATAATCTTTATAACTCCTAAGGAAACCAAGAAGTATTATTTTTTTTACATTGAATAAGTTGGAAGCATGGCTTAGTGGCAGGGTTTTGCTCTATGCAGACTTGAATTGAATATTAAATTCATATAATTTTTAACGAGAAAAACAACATTTGTTGATATAAACTTAGAATGTTGGCTTGCAAAAAATCTTGATTGAAAGTTTTGAGGATGGATGGATTCTGAATAAATTCTGAATTAAATTTTGACATATTTGAGCAGATAGTAGAGCTCTGCAGGCAGGGTCTTTTGTTCTCCTGAAATGAGTGGACCACATTTGAGAGAGCTGGATTCAAAAACATATACTGAGCCTTCGGGCCATTGGTGTACAGATAGCTGGGCTAATAGAGCTCTCCAAAATGAACATCACACAAGTAATGAGACCCATTTATCAACCATTTTCACCTGTGTGTGTGGTTTTACATCCTGAGACTTTGCTTTGTGCTAGAGCCTTTACACATTGTAACCTTTAAACCCATTAGATGAGTTCGACTACGTTCACACTGTAGCGAAATACGGTTGTCACTCCTCTTCTGAAAAAAATCCTGTTCTGTTCGCATAAAATTAAATTAGGGGAGTGAAAACCACAATATGCAACCAACTCTAACAACCAGTTTTTTGTTTATTCTTGTTAAGATGATTGTTTAAAACAACGTGCTTTGACTGTAATATATGGGTTTCTTGTGGAGCAGAGCAGAGGGCTGATGGGAGCAACTACGGTGCAGAGAGACCATATCAAAATATGCAAATGAGTCAAGACAGGTACCTCAATTTGTGTGATTTTCTAGCACATCAGCTCTGAGGAGCTGTCAACGAGTGACCTTGCTGCATTAACTAGTCGCTCAGTTTGCTTCTTTACACATGACACATTTAATAGCAATTGTCATTTTAATTTTTTGGAGTAAATTTAATTGTTGAATGTAATTGTCATTGCTCAGAAGAAAATTGTAAAACTAGTTGTTATTCCAGTTGGTGCATATGATACTTTTGATAGTTTGCCTTTTAGCCCCATAGCTCTGCAGTCTTGGTGGTTGCAAAGAAGTTGCATCTTAACAAAAGATTTTTTAATTTTTTTTTATTATTATTATTATTGGGCAGCATCCTTTGTTGATTACAATCACAGTTTTTTAAATCCATACTAAATGATTAGAACCACACTGGACTAGTTGTCAATAAGATTCAATAAGATATGCCAATAAGATTCTGAATGGAAAGTTTAAAAAGTTGCCAAATGGTTCCATTGACAAGACCAAAGTGATCTGTGTGTTTTGTCATTGTGAACTGAGCTATCATCATCGCAGCGCGTCGTTCAGTCTGAAATACCAACTTGATGATGGCCAAGCACACACCCACACAGCTGATGCAAAGTCCCCGCCCCCTCGTCAATATCAGGACCTTGTCAGTATTTCTACAACCTTATATTAATGGACAGTGTTACATTGAAAGATTAGTTGCTCCAAGTGAGAATGTTAGTGTGAAATTAAACACTGTATATGCCAATGTTGTTTTCAATAAAAAACATTTGCACAAAGCAAGCCGATCCACTTTTCCATGTTGATAAGAGGATTAAAATGAGAAGAAATAATGGGACAAAAAGATATCAAGAGACATTTAGAATAGATAAAAATGTTGCGAGTTAACCATGACATTAATGCGATTAAATATTTTAATCGTTTGACAGCACTAATTATTTGTATTTACGTTTTTATTTTTGATCTATCGATATGGACATCTAATGTTGGTAGGACGTTTCGTGTTCACTGCTATTGCGAGAATAGAAACTTTGGTTATTTGTTCATCCAGACAGCATATGAGGCTTGAGCCGGGGACACACTTAACGACTAGCTGAAAAATTCTAAGACTCAACTGAAGACACTTACTGACTGTTTTCAACGACTGGAGCAGATTTTAAACACTGACTGTGAACAATGACTGAACTGAACACAACTGTCTCTGACTCGTTTGGGCATGATCAGCCATAAGTATCAAATTACATTCATAATCGGCCTTGCGGTCATTAAGTGTGTCCCCAGCAGATAGAATATATATATTAGACTTGTTAGTAAATACCTTCAATTTCATTCACTGGATGTGTGAATGACACCACACTCTCTAGATATTTGCTCCAATTTGTAGTTGGGTGGAGTTGATGCTAATGTAGATGTTGAAAGTCAGAGCCAGTCTGCAGAGTTTTGGCAGTTAGAGCTGACAGATTTCACCCCAAAAAAAGTGTAGTGTATACTGTATCAAACGTATTTGATGTTTTGAGGTGAATTTAGAACATATTCTTTTCATTTGTCATGCATCTCCTAGCAAGTATGTTTCCGCGGGTGTTTGTTGTGTTCAAAACAACTTAAAAGTCTGGTCTGATTAGTGTAAGATGCTCAGTTTTTCTTTGTAACCGCCGGTTACAAAATTGGCAAGCATAAGATGCTTATCATTTTAAAGTCTAAGTTTACACCCTATCCTATAAAAGTTTAAAAAAAAATAGTGAGGTTGAATAATCTTAAATTGCTTTTGAAGAGTGAAGCTGAGAATTCTAGAATATTCATTCTCATGCAGTGATTTTCAGTTGCAGTTTCTTTCTCACATCACTGGTTCATTGGCTCTGGCACTATGTTGAGATGCAGACACTCTGGGTGATCTTTATTGAGGGATGATCCTGCCGAGATCAGATGATGGTGTTTACCCAGCTCCAATTTAACCCTTGCATGTTTGTTTACTGGAGCTCCTGAACATCAGAGCGAGCTTTGGTTTCTGCCACGGCCACCTGTGGTCTGCCAAGCTCAAGAGAAACTCTTAATAATAAAGTTTTATAATCGCTGAGTAACTGTAGTAACAAGAATCATTAAAAAGTCCAGATTTTCTTGTCATGTTTGCCACCCCGTGTCTGCTACTTTGGCGCAGGGCACAGTTTCCAAGCAGACCTGCAAATTAAAGGTCCCCGCAGGTCATTGTGGACGTCTCTGCGGGTCTGAAAATGTTGTGTAACCCACTCGGCCTCTGAAAGTAGAGCATGCCAAAGTGACTTGTGACTCATCTTTGACACGGTGTTAGAAAACAATCTTTTTAAGTGTAAATGAGATTAATTAGCATATTATATTTCTGTGTGTAAAGACACTTACACTTCATAATTGCTCACAGCAAAATAAGATCTGTGATATGAGTCACTATAAACATTAAAGTTTTTGGTGTGGGAGGGACAACATTTTTTTTTCTCACTGTTTGGATTTAAATAGGCAAATGCTTAAGACATTATTGCAATGATTATTGTGTTTCTAGCATGTTCGACAAATGTTTGACAACAGTTCTTCTAACTCTAATTGATGGAGTGTGTAGCTTTTCATTTCTTAAACAACCATGTAGGAAGAGACATCATGGTCATATTCCAGGATTACAACGTCAAGATTCATCAGGATCAAATTGGGAAAGAATGGTTGGGAAGGGAGCATGAAGAATCATTTTCACACATGAATTGGCATACCTTTAATTCATTGAAAGTCTTTGGGATTGTCTATACAAGATCTTGACCCAAAATGCATGCAACTCTTGATGTATATAAATGAATCTTATGTATTACACATTATTTATTGATGAATTTAGTTTCTGATCTAAATTTATATTCTTTCAAGGATGTTTTTCCTCAACTTTTTGAGGATTCGGAGGAATGTGAAGATTTATATTGTTGCTTCTGACATTTTTGTGAAGACTTACTTCAATACTTTACAAGAGGAGTTAAAGGGATAGTTCACCCGAAAATGAAAATGATGTCATTAATGACTCACCCTCATGTCGTTCCAAGCCCGTAAGACCTCTGTTCATCTTCGTGAACACAGATTAAGATATTTTAGCTTTAGTCCGAGAGTTTTCTGTCTAATGTCCTAAATTTTGGGTGAACTATCCCTTTAATATTGCATACTGTTAACAAGTTACACTTCATTTCATGTGAAAATAAGAATAATCCTTCATGTGCTGCTCTGCCACCAAGATGGTAGACCATGACAATTTCTAGTTGATTTTAACTCAGTCTTTTCTCTTCCCTATCTTGAAGACACCTACCTGTACCCCAGTTTCCAGGGGAACGTGTCAGATAACGACACCGCCAGACTGGGGCTTGATTTTCAGAGGATGCTGCGGATTAACCACATGGTCTTCATTGCTGCAAGGTATGTCGTGTCAGTTCGATCACATCCTCACACTCCACACAACACCACAGCTGCACACACACATTTCAAAAGATGCAGCATCGACCGGGAATTCCAGACCTCGGGATCCGTACACACTAGTGCTGTTTCTCCAGACGCCTGCAACGATAAGACCCACACACTAATGATAAGGGTCGTGTGATTGGGCCAATCAGTCTCATTCAGACCTAGATTGCAGACAGATGGAAGTTCGCTTGCTCTCTGACACCTCTTTCACCCTCTGCCTTCTTCAATTCAGCTCAAGATGTTATTGGCACTGGATTGTTACTTATTGAAAGAAATGGCAAAAAGAATCTCAGTTGCTTAAACAATTGATGAGAATATTGGCATTTCTTTATCTCTCTCTCTGTGTGTGTGTCTTTGTAGAGATCACGTTTTTGCCATTAACCTCAGCGCTTCAGTGGAGCGTATCGTTCCCCAACAGGTAAGCTCACCTTTTCCTCAACTTTCTGTTTCAGTCATCTCTAATGTTTTTCTTTCTCTTAGATCATTGATGTGAGAGTGTAAAATAGAATATTCACTTTTATTTGTCTTTGGGGAAGGACCATTTAGAAATCCCATTTTTCAAATGAGCAATTCTCTTTATGGTGGCTTTAAAGGACGCATATTCGACACTCTTATGTCTATTTTTCCCTGAGGTCCACTTGAAATGTTAGTCAAGGTCTCTTACACAAAAAAACAGACGTAATTTAGTTTTGCACAACCATTTTCCACCCTCAGTGTGACACTTGGAAATAAATAGGCTGTTTATGCTACTCTACATTCTGTTGGGATCTTTATGCTAATGACCTTTATTATGATTGGCTTAGCTCATTGAATGGGAAATGAGTTACAGCATTTACTGAAAAACCTCTTTACAGGCCTATATTATGAGTGGTTCACAAAGCAACCTGTACTGAAATGTGTAGCACACTGCTGTAGACTAATTGGCACTTTCAACAAATATTCTACTTTTTGTGCTTTGTGATTATATATATATATATATATATTGTCCAATTTCATATTACAAATACAAAATTGGTATTTTGGTTGGGGCCAATCAACTTATTGGCAGTATTCTGACATGTTGCGTTTTTGGCCTTCCCCCATCCCGCCCCCCTCTCTCTCCCACTTCACTTCCTGTCTACTCTACTATCCTATCTTAAAAATGGCAAAAATAAATCTTTTTTTTCTAAGTTGTTAGTTTGGCCTGCCCCACGTTATAGCTCTTGACCGTCTCGACCGTATCAGGCAATTAAAAATTACACAGCAATATCATAATTTGGTTCGTAAAATTACTAATTATAAACAATTATAATCTGTTTTTAAACTATACACTCTTAGAAAAAAGGGTTCATTGGGTTCTAGGGTTCTTTACTCAACTCCAAAGAACCTTTTATGCTAAAAAAAAGTTCTATAATGACAAGAAAGAACCCTTTTGGCACAAAGGTTCTTTAGGCTATTATTCATTCATATATTACATTATTCTGCAACATTTTGTAGTTGTAATTAAATTATTGTTTATTAAACTGTTGTAGTAACTTAATGTAACATTTTAATCATGCTGATTTTTGGAGGAGAAAAACTGAAATGGCACTCTTCGTGTGATATTGATTAACTACATAAATTTGTGATCATTCACATGCATTCATAAATACATTTTGGGGTTTTGATGGTTGTCAATAATATGAAATATTTAATCCTGAAAGGACAAAACAAATGATAATGAATGAACACATAAGGTTCCATAAAGAACCTTTTTCCTGGTTACAAAGAACCCTAAAGGGTTCTATAGAACTTTTTAGGGGTTCCAAATGCGTAGCGCTTATATAACCTTTTCTTCTAAGAGTGTATTTAGATGTCCCATTTATAAATATTTCATAATAGTGAATCAAAGGCTTAATAACAAATGAATAGAAAATAAAATCAGTCATATACTATTAAGTATGACCTCCTGAGGTTTGTAATCTACAAAGTACATTTCTCAAAGTTAAGCATCTTCTTTCTCTTTTTTTAAAACTAAATTTTTTTAAGACCCATTTTGGTGTAACATCGGCTGAGGAGGCAGTTTTGAGTTCTGAATATTGGAGTTATTTAGTTAGACCTATTATTTTGCTATTTAAAATATCAAAGGAAATCCTGTTTTTCCATCATACGTTGTTTTTACGTGCAGCAGTCCTATCAAATGTAATAATGTTGATGAAGTAATCTGCTTATGCATAGATCGCTCAACTCTTTCTTTTTTATTCTTTCTGTCCTTTGGGTCTTGCTGACATTATTATCTTAACTGTTGAGAGTAAGATGTCACTGCAGCAAATAGTTGTGTTAGTGAGAGTGTTGTTTTTAGCTTGTCATGGTATGTGTGTGTGGGTGTTGATTGCCTGCTGTTCCTGATGGGTGGGCAGACATGTGGCGGCCCAGTAAATCTCTGAAATACAGCCCGACCTAATGACATGAGCAAGCACACACACACACTCACACTCACTCAAATTGTTAACAACCTGAGGGATCTCTATTTTCCTTCAGATCGCTCAAGACCTGCTTGTCTCTCTCGCTCTTCTCCTTTTCATGTTTATTATGTATGATGATGCTTATTGAAGTAAATGAGATTTTCCCATTGCAGCTGTAATGAATGGCGATGAGCCTGATTGTTTGCTTGTTTGTTTGTTGGGCAGAAACTGACATGGAAGACAAAGGATGTGGAGAAATGCACAGTCAGGGGGAAAAACAGCGTGAGTACATTACTCTTTTATTTCTCCTTCTCTTTCTCCATGTAATTGTGTGATAGAAGTCAGCAACTGTTGCATTTAATGCTTATTAGTCGGGCACAAACAGACCTTCATCTAAATGCCAAATCTGGTCCACAGTGCAGCATATTCTGAAAAAGAACAGGAAGAACATAGACAGGAAGAGAACATCTGACTAACATCCACATTTTATTTTGTAGTTTTGTGCTGATTTGAGGTGGATTTCTCTGAAGTAGCCCAGTGTATTTAAATGGTTCTGCAGTAAATATTGGGAAAATATGTATAGATTTTTTTCAGTCAGTAGTGTTGCGGCATTCGGGTTGCCAGCTTTTCTCTAATTACCACAGCCGCAGATAAAAATGTGACAGAATCGGATAAAAAAAAAAGTCTAACGTTGCAAAACCAAAAGAAAAAACTTGATATGAATCCGAAATACTTTGTGACAAAGCCCGAAATAAAAAATTAACAGAAAAAAACTCAATGTGTAGGACTCGTCACTTGCCATTGGAAGCTTCTTGTAGATGCCTACATTCCTGCTCGATCCTGCAGCATATCTGGCAACCTCGAATCAACCTCGTTACACCCTAATTTGAAAGTGATTGCAGTACTAGTTTTGGCCACAATCTTGCATACAGCTCCTTTAAGTATTATTTTGATGACATATCTGATAACAAATCATCTCAAAATATACAGACCTATACAAAAAACTATTACATAAACTTTGCATGTTGATACTGATAATATACTGTATCAGTATTAATGGACAATATATTGTTTTAACAAAATTTTTAAATATTTTTACTTTTTTTTTTAAATGGATCTGTATTGGATGATTTATATTTAATAGGACAGTCTAATTTACTCTATTTTTACTTCTAGATCATCTTGTAATCTAACTAATTTGTAATCTAATCTAACCTCAAATTAATCTTTAAAAACACTTATATTCCAAACTGCTAAATGTATTTTTAGCAAATCTTAAAATATAAATTTTTCATACTGTACATTACAATTTTATGATGCTTGAAAGTTCACTCACTTTTCACTTCGATTTTTTTTTTTAATTTATTTGGAGAAAATAGTATAAAATTTTACTATAGACCATTTATCAATTATCGTGCACAACATGAAAATAATTATCCTCCAGATTTTTTATATAATTCTTCCCTAAAAAAAGTGCCCTTTTCCAACGCATTCTCACCCCAAGGCGTCACCTTTGACCATGCTTCAATATTTGACGTTTTAGGCGCCCTTTAGCGTCACTTACATGACGCGATCCTACGGCGTCATCTAACTGACGCTAAAGGAAAGCGTCTGTTAGAGGACGCGGTTAGGTTTAGGTATGGGGTGGGGGTAGGGTACACGCGATCCTAGGGCGTCATCTTACTGACGCTAAAGGGCGCCTAAAGCGTCAGATATTGAAGCATGTCCAAATGCTTCCCAAGGCGTCAGTTAGGTGACGCCTTGGGAGTGAGAATAGGCTGCCTTTTCCCTAAAAGTTGTCAAGCCAGCCAATCAGTTTAGAGTTTACCAGATCGAGAAGACACTTGCCAGTTTTGGGATAGGTACGCATCCGTAAAGGTCAGTAAATGCTCTGAAGCTAAGACTAAGTGATTCTCCACAGTTGGCTAATATAAGTGAAGAAATGTAAACACGCACAGGTTTCTTAATATCATTGTTGGTTGAAGACTGAGTTGCAGTGAGCAAGTCAGATCCTGGAGCTCAGCATAGGGATTATGGTAATTTGTGTGTGGAAGTGAAGGAAAAACGGAGTCAGTAATGATGCTCGCTGTAAGCTTCAGGATGAGTCAATCTGTGTGTGTGTGTGTGTGTGTGTGTGTGTGTGTAATTCAGGAGTTATATATAGTCTGAGTAAAAGCCAGTGTCTTGTCTTTCACAGGATGAGTGTTACAACTACATCAAAGTGCTGGTGCCACGTAACGATGAAACTCTCTTTGCATGTGGAACCAATGCGTTCAACCCCACCTGTCGCAACTACAAGGTATGATGAGTCTATTTCTGTCACACACACACAGTTATTTCCACCTACAGATGCGTATTCTGAGGCTTCCCTTTAAAGAATAAAAATTGACAGCCTATATCCACGTCTACTTAAATTTGTCAGCATTAAAATTAATTTGAATATTAGGCCTGTTTAAAAACATATATATCCTGTTTTTTTCTCAGAAATGAATTCATATCCTGTCACACCGGTTTACAACCTGATTTTTTTTTTCTTTCTGTGAGAGAGGTCTGCGTTCTCCCATTAACACTGTCTGTTGGCTAAATGAAACAATTATTGCAGTTGCAATGAGCATGATTAACACATTTTAGTCGTGTTAAACGGGTTTCCATCCACTTATTTTTGGTAAATTTGGGGGGACAAAATGCTGATAAATAAAATCAGGCAAATAAAATGATTAAAATGCACATAAATAATTGAGGTGGGTAAATGTTTTATTTGGTCTGCGCGTAAACTACAATAGAAACACATTTACTGTATAAATTCCTAGACGTGTGTCAAATGTTGTGACTAATTCGCATAGATGATTGACTGCTATTATTTCGCACAGTTAATTGACTAGTATTATGAAACCATAAACTGCAAAAGAAATGTAATTACTGATGGGCGTCAAAAATGTGATGTGACTTTCCTTCAAGTATGGTGACCTGAATAATATGCTCAGATGATTCAAAACCACCTGACATGTAAACCAGAAATGTATTACATTTAATAAAAGAGCCATGTTGTGAATACAACATTTTAATTTCTAGTTTACGTAGTGGCAATCATCTATGTTTTCTAAAGGCAATGTTTTTGTTCTTTTGAACACATGGGAAGTTGAGTAGTAATGTTTTGATATAGGTAAAATATGTGCCTTTATGCAGTGCCTGCAAAAAACTGCAACAAATCACTAGTTTAGTGATGTGAAGTCAGGCCTGTCCTGCGATTGATGGTTTTCCATCAACATTAGCAGATCTGTTCCTGAGCGGTGTGTGTGCATGTGTGTTTTTGTTTGCCAGAGAGCATGTAAATCTGACTAAATGCTGGAGGAGGCCAGCAGGGAGTCAGCAAAACTCACGGATGAGGCTCTGCTCTCAACTTTTCCATTCGAGGCTCTTTGGAGATCTTGATTTATGCACCTTGCCCCGAAGGCATCTTCCTTCCATATTCCTCTCTTTCCTCTTCCTCTCCACTTCTCTCTCAGTCTGTCTCCATTTTCTCGTGCTCACAGTCTCGTTTTTCTGCATCTCACCGAGGAGAGGGATGTTCTGTTAGAGCCCTGGAGAGGGACAATATGTCATGTCTTGCAAATCATGTCGCTCAGTTCCTCTGCCTTGTCTCCTCACGCATTCCTTTACTCTCACAGCTCGAGTTGTGGAGAACTTTCTGGAAAACTGTGCAAGGAGAGGTTAAGGAGAGATTGTTATAGTTAGATTGTTATAATATTTTGAGAGTTTTGGAAAAGTTCAATTTGCACTTTTCCACTGCTGTTACGGTTCGGCGCGGCACGGTTCGGCTCGCTTTAGCTTGGTTTGCTTTTTCACTGCTGTTTTGATGTCTCGCAAATATAATGATGCTGGTAGTGATGATTCTCTCTGACCAATCAGTGATCTGCAATGTGTTCACGTGACATTTTAACATTGGTAAGGTATGCTTGGAACCTCGACAGAGGTGATACCATTTAAAGCGAGCTATACCGTACCATGCTGTGGAAATACGCCACAAGTGAGCCGTACCGAGCCGAGCCATACCGTACCATCAGTTGAAAAGCACCAAAGTGTGCCATACTGAACCGTGCCGTACTGTAACATGCAGTGGAAAAGCGTCATATTACACTTTCCCATTTTGTTACATGCAGATTACCTTTGCTGTTATCTTTTGCTCATTTAATGTTTTAAATAACTAATAATTGTATTATTATTAAAGAGGTCTTATTATAACATTTTCAACGTTTTTTAGTGTGTCATTACTATGGAGTGGACTTTTCAGACCTTTTTCATGCTCAAACAACGAGGTATTCACTATCAGTAAGCACTGTTTCTGAACCCTCTGAAAGCCTCGATTGTAGTCTTGAGTTTTCTTCCGGGAACGTACATGTCACAATATTCCTCATTTAAATAATTTCTGCCCTAGGCATGCATAAAAATGGGGTGAACAGGGTGGCAATTGCTTATGGAAAGGTATGGCTGCTGCCATACCAATTGTGGCCATCTGGCTGAATTTGTGAACCTTCTTCAAACAGCGTCATGCAAGTTCAGAAACAACGCTATTTCCCTGACATTTCATGCCAGATTTGAAGTTAGAACATGTACATGTAGTAGCTATAGATAACGACTGAATAAATAAAATGAAAAGGAAACAAGTATCACTAGATGCCACGTCATAAAAGAGACAACAAGCCAAACCGATACAACATAATCTGATCTTTGGATGCGCCACACACACACACAAAATGCCAACCGGATTTTAGTTGTTTTTCTCTCTGCTGTTTCAATGTCATGCAATTCAGTTTGTCAAATGGCTTCAAAATATATTTGAACAAGTCATGATCTGCTCTTAAATAGATTATTTAAGGTGTGAATAGATGTGCTTTGTTGTGATATTTGAGGATGGCTGCTGCACCAGTATGATACTGTCAGGAATTAATGAAAATATGTAGGACTGTTGTAAAATTGAATGACATCGTCAGAGTTTGCCATACCATGCATTTTGGTGAATTGAAGCCACTAGGGGTGAGGTCTAGTTGAGTTTTGTTAGTATTGTGTTGAAACTCGCGGTTATGGTAAGGGGTGTGACATTTACCAAACAAGCTGGAAGCGGGCTGACCAAACACAACACATTGGCCCAGCTGACCGATCAAAGCACATTGCATTTTTCGTTTTTCGACCGTTACTGAGAGACTGGGAAGAGAGGTGCTGCAGCAATGCAAAATATGTGAAAAATTACGTGTTTTTTGAACATTCAAGCATTAAAACCTATTTTAGTTGACCCCAAAAACAAAATCAAGACTTTGAAAAAAGGTCATAATAGGTCCCCTTTTAAATAAGTCGAGAGTGTCTCCCAAAGAAAGACAGTTTATTTGGACCAACTTGTTCCTCAGCATCACAACCTGTAAGTATGACTAATTATTTATTTATAAATTTTCTACCGGGTGTTCAAAATACGTCATTTTGTGTTTTACTTTGTGTAGGTCTCCGGCTAACCAGCCAACTCACGTTATTACTGTCTTACTGAAACTTCTGCTAAACAGCTGTGGATTACCTAAAACTGTGTCTATTAATGCAGATTGTCTGTCGCTCTTACTACTTTGAGTACAAATAAACGT